GTTACGGTGGAAGGAGGATGGCCACGAGGAAACACAACATTTAAGAGTACGTAGCTTGTTACCAGTAACAGACAACCAAGAAGCCTGCCAACGGGTAAGGACTGAGGAATGGATAACCGGGTAAAAGTCGGAATACGGAATGCCTTTACGAGAGATGGGACAAGAGCGGACAGCTTCCTTAGCGGCAGCATCCGCACGCTCATTTAAAGACACACCAATATGGCTGGGAACCCAACAAAACTCAACCGACTTAAATTTACTGTGAACGAGAAACAGCCAATGCTGGATCTCGACAACTACTGGATGAACCGGATTAAAGCACCCGAGAGCCATGAGGGCACTACGAGAGTCAATAACAACCACAAAGGAAGACTGACAACGAGAAAGCAGGAGACGAAGAGCATAGAGAATAGCATAAAGTTCAGCTGTAAAGATTCTAGTCTCCGGAGGCAAGCGACACATATAAGTGCGATCAGGAAAAACAACAGAGTAGCCAACACCGTCCGCTGACTTAGACCCATCGGTGAAGACAGAAACGGAGCGGGAGTGAGAAGAAAAGTGCTCGAGGAAAAGGCGTTTTAGAACCGTAGGAGGGGTAAAAGCTTTAGTGATACGGGTCAAGGAAGTACAAAATCGCGGAAGAGGGACCCTCCACGGGGGCAAAGAAGGAACAACACGAGGAGAAACATCAGAAATACGAACGGAGAGAGAATCCTGTAGGCGAGATAACCGGACAGAAAGAGGGAGGTGGTGAAGAGGAACAGGAACCGCAGGAGGGGTAAAAGTTAAAGCACGACAGAGGCGAGAGGAAGGATGTTGCAAGGACCGCGCAAGATAGCGAAGACAGTAGCGATCACGGCGGTCCTGGAGAGACAGGAAGCCAGTGTCAACATACAAGCTAAGGATGGGAGTCGAACGAAAGGCACCAGAACTGAGGCGCAACCCAGTATGGTGCAAAGCATCAAGACGGCGAAGAGTAGAAGGAGAAGCAGACGAGTAAGCAGGGCAACCATAATCGAGCTTAGACAGGACGAGAGAGGAATGTAAAGCAAGGAGAGTGCGCCTATCTGCCCCCCAAGAAGTATGGGACAAGACCCGAAGGAGGGTAAGGGCCTTAGAGCACTCAACACGGAGGTAAGAGATATGGGGAGACCAAGACAAACGAGTGTCAAGGAATAACCCCAAAAGCTTCGCGGAATCTTTGTATTCAAGGGGATGACCATAAAGTGACAAAGAGGGACGAAGAACAACCCGTTTCCGCGTAAAAGTCATGGCACAAGTCTTAGAAGTAGAGAACTTGAAGCCATGACCTGTGGCCCAAGACGACACGGCATCAATTGCAAGTTGAAGCCGGCGTTGAAGGAGAGGCGAATCATCACCCTGACAACAAAGGGTAAGATCATCGACATAGAGAGCGGAGAAGACACCAGAAGGAAGAGAGGAAAGAAGACCATTGAGGGCAACAAGAAAAAGAGTAGTGCTCAGAACACTACCCTGGGGCACACCTTCGTATTGCTGAAAAGAGGGAGAGAGAGCGGTACCAAGGCGCACCCGAAAGGAACGACGAGAGAGGAAGCTGCGGAGAAAGAGAGGGAGATGACCACGAAGGCCAAAAGAATGAAGTTGAGATAGGATATGATAACGCCAAGTGGTGTCGTAAGCCTTTTCTAGGTCAAAAAGGACGGCAACAACGGAGGTCTTCGCAGCAAAAGCAGTACGAATATAGACCTCCAAGTTCACCAGGACATCTGTTGTGCTGCGGCACTTGCGGAAACCAAATTGAGAAGGGGAGAGGAGGTGATGGTGTTCCAGGAACCACATCAGACGAACGTTAACCATACGTTCAAAGAGTTTGCAGACACAACTTGTGAGAGCAATAGGGCGAAAGTCCTTAGGGGAAGTACCCAGAGACCCCGGTTTGCGAACAGGGAGGACAACGGCATCGAGCCAGTCCTCAGGGACTGACGACGACTCCCAGATCCGATTATACAGACTCAGTAAATACTGAGACGTGCTCGGAGGGAGATGGCGAAGCATCTCATAATGAATACCATCGGAGCCCGCCGCCGTAGAACCGCAGAGGGCCAGGGCAGAACGAAGTTCAGAGAGAGAGAAGGGATCATTATAGGGAAGCTGAAGATGAGTGCAGAAATCTAAAGGACGAGACTCAAGGACAGGTTTACGAAGAAGGAAAGATTGGGGAAGATGAAGACCAGAGCTAAGAGAAGAAAAATGGGAACCCAGTTCGGAAGCGACCTGCAACGGGTCCGCCACAAGAGTATCATGGAGGTGAAGGACCGGTGAAACATCGGGAACGAACTTACCCGCTATCTTGCGGATACGCTTCCAGATCTGGGCCAGAGGGGTCTCGGACGTAATTGTTGAGACATAAGATGCCCAACATTCACGTTTAGCCGTACGGATGGCCCTACGGGCCACCGCACTCGCTTTCCGAAAGAAAAGAAAAGAATCGGTCGTCTGCCTACGGCGGTGCCTCTTCCAGGCTGCACGCTTACAGCGGACAGCCCGAGCACAGTCCGCATTCCACCAGGGAATGCACTTCCGTGGACCCCGAGAGGAAGAGCGAGGAATAGAGCGGAGGGCAGGGGGTTGTATCAAGGTCCTTCCCAAGGTCGAACTACAGACCATCCCCAGGACGCAACCCAAAACAAACAGTAGCCAAACTTCCTGGTACCTATTTACTGCTAGGTGAATAAAGGTATTAATTGATAGGATATGTACCTAATCATTTTGGTCTCGCCCAAGAATTGAACCCGGGATCCCCAATTGTGAATCAAGAATGGAGCCAACTGTACATCATTAAATGCTACAACAACTGGCAATGAACTATGAGTACTTACTGTTGGACTAATCAAATTTGAAAAAATTAACAATTTAAGTTTATTATGAAGATCAAGCTCTCCGACTGAAAATGACTTTGAAAACAAAGGTGTGACTGTGGATCCTGATGCTTTTACAAAAGAATCACACAGACCTAGAGTTTTAGAAGGCAGCTTTAGGGGAGTGAGGTTTGGGCCTTGAAACATGCAACTGAACTACAAGTAGCTCTCAAGTTACATTTTGGATGTACAGTAAATTGAATTTGCACAAACTTAGTGATATGTATACAAAATAAACAGATGCATTATAGGCACCTTCCTAAGTCATGTTCTCCATACTCCTATCTCAAAATGCTCATACAAAAAGCAATATTTTAGGACTTCCACAACAATCATACTTTCTTTTCAAACTTTGGCATTACCTGTATGAAAACAGTAAAATTCAATTTCATTTGAAAATTTTGTGTACATTGAGGGTTTACTATAAAATCAGCCAACTCTTCCACAAGTATCAGGTTCAATCCCCGAATGCTTCAACGTCACTCATAGAGCAAACAGAATTAAGCGAACTTGGTTATTTGATTGCAATACAGTATATGAATTACTTGAAATAAACTGAAGTTCAAGTGCTTCCCTTTCAGTTTATCTGTTTAACAAGCATGACTAATATGAGCATTTGTGAAGAGAATACTACAGTAATAAGGGAGTGTATAACAAATGATCATCAATTATTAATACTATACATGAAAAGATAACATGAATGAAAGATCAGTCAACACTATTTCGCATCTTATTTTGAAAACAGAGAGCAATACCTGATTAGTACAGAAATATCAATAGATTTTAATGACAAATAGGGAAACACATACAATTTGATTCACTCATTATGGACGTCAATATTCTTAACTTCCGGTTAGGAATTCTGTATACGCTCATATGTACATAACATTTTATGCTTGGATAAAACTTGATACAATGTTATGTAATGAATATGAAAATGTGTTTTTTTGTTTTTGAAAATCAACAATTTTATTGTCATAAAAAAACTTGAGATAAAAAAAAGAGTTACTGTACTAAAAGAAACGATAATTGTTCAATGAATACTGAAATTAACACAATTTGAGTACTGCAGCAAAGGGGTTCAAATTTCAAATGCTTTGTAACCCACTAGCAGAGGCACCGGCACTGCTCACGTGAAAATTGGAGAAAACATTTACACCACCATAATAGTATCATCTACACCATGAGTAGGTTAATGCTGACCCACTATGGCCCCCCCTTCCCCCATAACCCTGCAAAGTTTGTTAAGGCTAACCTCAAGCATTTGGCTTCTTATCTATCTCTCTCTCTCACTATCTCACACACTCACTCTTATCACACATACTATCTCTCTCTCTCTCACTCTATCTCTCACACACACACACACACAATGTGGGACCAAAGAGCCAAAGCTTACACACACACACACACACACACACACACACACACACACACACACGCGCGAAGGGAGCAGGAGGCTGAACACAAGGTATCATCTGGGAGGGGAAATCCTGCAAGAATCAAATAGAGAGAAGGATCTGGGGGTTGATATCACACCGAACCTGTCCCCAGAGGCCCACATCAAAAGAATATCATCAGCGGCATATGCTAGACTGGCCAACATAAGAACTGCCTTCAGAAACTTGTGTAAGGAATCTTTCAGAACCCTGTATACCACTTATGTAAGACCAATCCTGGAGTATGCAGCTCCAGCCTGGAGTCCATACCTAGTTAAACACAAGACAAAGTTAGAGAAGATTCAGCGGTATGCCACCAGGCTCGTCCCGGAACTGAGAGGATTGAGCTACGAGGAAAGGCTAAAGGAGCTGAACCTCACATCCCTGGAAAACAGAAGAGTAAGGGGAGACATGATAACCACCTACAAAATTCTCAGGGGAATTGACAGGGTGGACAAAGACAAACTCTTCAGCACGGGTGGGACACGAACAAGGGGACACAGGTGGAAACTTAGTACCCAGATGAGCCACAGAGACGTTAGAAAGAATTTTTTCAGTGTCAGAGTAATTAATAAATGGAATGCACTAGGCAGTGATGTGGTGGAGGCTGACTCCATACACAGTTTCAAATGTAGGTATGATAGAGCCCAGTAGGCTCAGGAATCTGTACACCAGTTGATTGACAGTTGAGAGGCGGGACCAAAGAGCCAAAGCTCAACCCCCGCAAGCACAATTAGGTGAGTACAATTAGGTGAGTACACACACACACACACACACACACACACACGCGCACGTTACATTTTTGGAGTGGTGTGAATAAAAACTGCAATGATGATATGAGGAGTTTTGCAACGATGCATTGTCACTTAAATATCAATTTAGTCCAAAAATTAGTCCAAAAAATTTAGTCCAAAAATCCAAGTCCAAAAATTATGAAAGATATCTTGTTATTATTGCCCAAAATATGTTTTTATTGATTTTGGTCGATTGCCAAACTATTTTTCAAACACAATAGGTCTTTCAGCCAATTTAGGTATAAAATGCGTGTGGTTGTGTGGACATACTATATATATATATATATAAAAGTGCACCTAAAAAGACTGTATACAACAGTGTAGTAAATAGCTATGAAAATCATATCAAGATGTCTGGGAAAATTCTGGGATGTATTCTGAGCTTCAATAGGACTCTAGATGCAATAATCATGAAAGAGCATACTTCAACTACATTATTTACACTTGTGTTTTTCACCTATCAATATAAAATATACAGTACTGTACTGTGCTTCATAAAACAGTGTGAATCTCTATACTGTTTACTGATAAATGATTCATTATAATTATTTGGATAAGTATAATTTTCTAGAAAGACTTAACAAAAATATAAATTCTAAAGCTATACAATTAAAGGGAAAATTGATATTTATTGTACACATCAATAGTGTTTTGGTTTTATAAGAGATTACCGTTACGAAAGCCTTTCCTTAGAAAGAGCAAAGACTTCTGAGCATTATCAATAATTGCCCACTTTGTGACCTTAATTTTCTTCTGCTTTACTTAGGTCTGGTGAGCTCGTTGGCTGGTGCAGAATGGGTTGCATCTCGTGGCTGGGCGTGTCCAAGGTGCTGTAGAGTGGCGGTGCGGATGGTATGGGCACAGTGGGACTTGCCGGTGCACCTTCTACAGTCATAGACACCTTTCCAACTGGAACTGTACCTATTGTGATGTTCTGTTTGACACTGGCCGTGGAACAGAAACCCATTGAAAATGTTATCTGAAAGGTAATAGAAAGGATTTTGTTATAATTTAGCTGTAATCAAAATATGTAATAGATTAAGTGGTTCTTTTTAACCAACCTTATTATTTTCAACTGATGAAAGCAGTACAATACAGTAGTGTAAATTGATGTATAAATTTATACATTATACATTAAGTTATTCATTTACACAACCACTGAGGAAGGCTCCCAGAACGTCAGCAAGTCAAAACAAACCACAAGCTGACATGACATGACTGTGTACAAGAGTGCACAAAGAAATCACATTAACGTGATGTATCAATGAAAAAATCAGGAGACACGAGGAGGATTCAAACCTGTATACTGGGTACTCCCAAGCACACGCCCTAAATGACTAGGCCACGACATGCCTAAGAGTAATGCAACCCGAGATTAAAGCAAATCCTGTAGGGGTCTCGAGTCTTCCACTGAAACAAAGTCAGGGTTCCACACACTACCCCGCATATATTTTTAGCGTGTGTTTGGGAGTACCCAGTATACAGATTCAGATCATCCTCATGGCTTCTACTGATTTTCTCAGTACAGAACATGAATTATGCGAGTATTTTTCTTATGTAGTCTCAGACCTGCTTTATTTAACTAGCAGAATTCTTATAAAATATACAGTGAAGGTATAATATTTTGTTTAAGTATGAATCTTCATTCATACACTGGAAAAAGCTCACTGCATGTAACAGTGTTCACATTACATCAACCGTGAGGTTTGCTTCAGTAAGGTTCTTTCATGTCAAAACTGTAACACTAATCATGAATTAACATGGTAGGAAATTTTGTCCAATTTAGTTTTCCATATTTGCTCAAAATTTTCCTTTCAAGATAAACAAAATGAGAGTATATTTTACCTTTACAGCATATAGAGCAGTCATTATACTGCAATACTGTAGGCACACAGCACTGTCAGGAATGTGGATGGGGACTGAGAGCCAAATATCCGTCTCACCAGTAAGGATTCCCGGACGCCGGACTCGCTGCAATATTTCCCTCTTTATTTTGGTCGCCTCATTTATCTTGTACGTGATTGTCTGCAATATCAACAAATGTGTTGCTGATATACATAACAATTAAAAATAGGAACTGAATATGTAGGATGGATCACTCATATATACTGTATATACAAAATTGAAGAACAAATAAACAAGAATTAAGTTAATGGATAATTATGTAGACATGTGCAAAGCTTAAATGTAATCAAATCTAAATCAGTAAGATGGAACACATTTGTAGTTCCCAGTGAATGAATTGGAATAATTTTATATAAAAATAATGCATTACATGTATTATTTATTTATTTTATTTATGTATATACAAGTGCTTACATTCCTTTAAGACCTTACATCTTGTAAGATGTAATTAAACACTCCTTCCTGGTGAACTTCCCAGCAGCTCTTCAGGCCACGTGCTGGTACTGCCATGTTTTACAGAAGATATACCAGCCACCGAAACCCCAACCTGGCCTAATGTGACCCAAAACAAAGACAAAACAAAAAAGCACAAGTCAAACAAAATTCCAAGAGCTGTATAAATGACTTCCCAGATCTTATACACTGGTAGCTCAGAGCCAAATCCAACACAACCGGCATGTGTGACCATTTCGTGCCCTACCAGGAGCAGGTACCAAAAGCCTACTTGCTTATAAAAGCAGGGAAACTGCAAATTCACAAGACTGCACACTTGAGAAACCCTACCAAAATGACAGAAAAACCACACACACTCAGCATACAAATGAATATCAAACAAAAACTCAAAATTATCCCACCTTGTTGCTTCCCTTTCTCACTACCATATGGCAGTGAGAGGCCACCACCGTCACACACTTGCCCAGTGCCCCTATCAACACACGGCGTCTCCCGAGATCTCCCGAGATAACAGGTCGCGAGACCTGTGTTTTGGGCTCCGTTACTGGCTTCTATTAATTTTTGTCCACTTTTGGATGTTTATCTTTCAATGCTATTAAAGTGTATTTGCCAGTTGCCTTGCATGTCTCATGTTTATACCTCACTTCAGCTGTAGTTTTGGGTTCTCTTCCCTGAAATGCCGTTTGATGAAGATTATCTGTGAACACAGTTATCTTCCCTAAAGCAGAGAATTCCTCCCTAGGACTGACTTCTCTCGAGTCTTTCTGGATCTCGGGTAGATCTTTGGGCCATGGTATCGGGCGTTACCTGTAGAGGGAAGCATTGTGTTTACAAATGACAAATTTGTAAACACAATGCTGTAATATAGTATGGAACTTGATGCCCCTGTTTCTTCAGGTGTGAAGTTTGATGCTTATGGCTAGGATGTGATTAGCGAGTAGCATTTAGCATCATGTATTTTTGTTGAATGGCATTGTAACATGTAATGTCCACTTGACCACATGGTTATTCACGTGAAGGGAGGTTTGAGTGGAATTCTAGTCCCATACATTAAAGGGCTTCATTTGTTCCACTTTTAAATTCTAGAGCCAACTTTGGAGTCATGTGCCATTAGCTGGCATTCATGTTTCAATAGACATTTATTTTGATGTTGTTATGGCAGAAACTATGCAAATATTCATCACTGTTCAGTGGGTCGAGGGCTTACCCATCCATTCGTCTGCTCTAATGCTTGGCTCTTGCATTAATTAGTGTGTAATTATCTTACAATGCTATGTAGCATTTGTCTTTTTCTGAACATTGTGGGCAGTGTGATGGAGGACCTCCACAAGGTTTGATGCTGGCCTGTGCTCGGAACAGCTTCGTGGAATATCTGATTGCAGACATTGCTGTTCTAACACATAACATAAACCAAAAAAACCAATGTTGAATGTAATGAAATGCCAGTTTCTGGGTGAACTTTGGAGGCTTCCTGAAGCTATCACACTGAATAAGTTCCATACTACTAGGTGTCACCAGTCGCTGAGCTCTATTTGTCCACCATGGACCATGAGCCAGAACCTGGCCCTCTCAGAGAAGTGCAGAGGGCAATGGCTGGCCTATGAACACTTTTAAAGTTTTTCCATCTTTGCCACCATCCAAGGGAAGGCACCCAAAAAGATAAGCAAATCAAAACAGACTACTGCATGGTTAAAATGAAACCACAGCCTTAAAATTGCCAAAAGAACTCCCCATAATAAAAACAAACCACCAAAATTTTGTGAAACCATCCCCCACTCCCCGTTTGCCCCACCTCCCACCCTCACCTGAGGAAGGAGGGAGCTGGCCCAGCTGTAATGAAACGGCAATTTCTTGGCGCCTAATGAAATATATAATGCATTATATATATATATGGAAATCCAAACTGAACCTTATTAAGAGAGTGTGCTTGCCAGGAGGAAGCTAGCACCTTGTGCTGCAACTATGAAACAGTCAAAGATCCATATGAAAAAGAAGTTGCAGCCAATTCTGATGAAGAATAAGGGCCTCAAAGGAGAAATAATAGGTCTCACCTGGTGTAAACAAAAGGCAAGCAAAACTGTGAAAGTTTGCTAAAAACAGGCACTTCTCCAGTGCACAATGGCATCCAGAAATGTAAATGGGAGACGCTGAGTACACATGAATTTCAACATAGGCACATGGATACAACACATTCCCCACCTAGGTGACAGATGCTGCCATCCGACTTGAGAAATAGCCCACACACACACCAGGTAAAACAGTAACCAAGGGCTCCCCAGCTTTGAAACCTCCAAAATGCATCACCCCTCACTGGCAGATGCAGATTAATGCTGACAAATGTAAGGTTCTGCGGCTAGGTAATGATAGAGTTATAGGAAATCTGGTGGATGGTGTGTTGAGATTGAGAAGTTTGATTGCAAAAGGGATCTGGGAGGTCATAACTAATAAGAATTTAAAGCCAAAAACTCAGTGCATAAATATCTGAAATAAGGCAAATACTGCATGACATTGGGATTTATGTCTAGAATTGTTAACATAAAACACCTAGTGTTATTCTTCAGCTATGTCATGCTCTTGTTAGGCTCTATTTAGATTATGCAGCTTAGTTTTGGTTGCCATACTATAGAACGTACATAAATTCACTAGAACGTGTCGAGTGTAGGATGATAAAATTAATCCCACAAATTAGAAATCATCCATATAGAGAGATTAATTAAGCTTAATTTGAAATTTCTGATGTTATGGGTGACATGATTGAAGTGTACAAGTGGATGAATGGTCATAACAATGGAGATACAGTACTAATAATTTATTACATATATATCAACCCATAATAGAAATGAAACAATGGATATAAATTGGATAAATTTAGATTTAGGAAAGATCTGGGTAAATACTGGTTTCGTAGCAATGTTGTGGAACAAATTAATGGGTAACATAATAGATCCCTTGATCGTTTCAAGCATAGGTTAGACATATATATGAGTGAGTTTGGGTGGATATCACTATAAACATAATCAGTTTAAGTACCATTTAATTATAATAGAATTTTAAACCGTGATGATTACCGCATTACCTTAGTAACTTTTGTGACGACAACCATTTATATGTGGTTATCAAAGGGGGAAGCAGTAAAGTGGTAGTTTGAATATTTGGGATACTTTTCAGTTTTGTCTGATGTTCATTCATACCTGACATTTATCTACGAGTGCTTCAGTTTTCGTGATGCCTTTTAACGCTATTTTGGAAAGTGTGCAGAGTCTCATGACTCTCCAAGCTCCCCTACCTCTTGTGAGGGTGTAGGAGTCTAGCCCCGGCTCTCAGTTGGCCACGAGATGTTTATAGACACCTGATGTAATGGTGTTTTTCCTGGGGATACCAATACATAAGCTCTAGGAGCCCCTCTGAAATCATTTTTATACATTGGCAACCTACTGATGTGCATACCCCAATATTGCATGCCATGTGGACAGATGATATAACTTTTTTCATAGTGAATAAATGATTAAGAGTATCATGATTTTATAGTTGCAACTGCATATTGCAGTTTTAATGCAAACCAACAAAAGAAAAATGACTGACTGATATGTGACATGATTTGGACTGGGCACAATTAATGAACTCTTGTCAAATTTCAGAAAACAGTAGCATCTGTTGGCTCACTTCATGTAAGGTAATCTCAGCCGACTCTATGTGCCACCCTGCACGGTTAGTGACTTCTCCCGTCAGCAGCACGTATTCTCCAGGTATATAGTCGGTCTTTTCAGCACACAACGATATAATGACTGGCCCTTGTTCACAGCAACAACAACACACACTCTGCTCCTTGTGAAACATCAATGAGTCCTGTTGGTAACAAAAAAAAAAAAAAACAATAAAATATATCTTTAGGTCAAGGTAATTGACAATTCCCCCATTGCAATATCAAACGATTATCAGAGCAAACTTATTACGGTATCAATCAAATGAAAAAAAAATGTATTCTTTACTGCAGTCCTACAAATAAAAGCTAGAAATAATTCTTTTTAATATAAAAAACATGAGGAGTGCCTCTAACACAAAAGCAGTTGTTTGTTTTAGCAGAGAATAATTTTTGTTTGTAATACAAATTAAGAACATAAATCATGGCAGCTAAAACAAGTTTTTTATTTGCTCAAGTTGGGTATACATATATTTGGGGAATTGTACAACTTCTATCTTAAATCATTACAGTATTTAGTATTAGGATGATAGCTAGTATAAGCCTACTTAGTTACAAAATGTATTAAATAATTAAATCATACATAGATCAAATACTGTATTGTGAAAAAGGCAAACTTACAGAAGATGTTCTATGTTCGCTCAGATCGTATTTGCATTCAACGTTGAAAAACACACTGGATAATTGATCTGTTCCCCATGGAATTTCTGCCTTTGCTTCAATTACATAACGAATGTGACCGTATGTTCCTTCAAAACTTCTGGGAATTTTTGGAGGCAACTTGAACTGGAATGGAAAGCCATACTCTCCTGCTGGGAGATTGTCTCCATGACCTGTTGAAATAAAACAGGTGTTGAATGTAATGAAAAACCTGTTTCTGGTGGATCCCTTCAGTGGCTCCCCGAGCTACCCACCGGGTTAGAACCATGCCTAGAGTACCCCGCCAGGAACCGAGTTGTAAGTAGCTACCAGGGGCCAGAACCAGAATCTTGGACTCTCAATAGAGATAAGGGTGTTAGGAGACTGTACCCAGGGAATTCAAAAGCAAAGCTACAGCTAAAGTTCAATGCCATGACAGGAAATGAACCATGGGTATCCTTTGGATCAGGTATCCAAAGGATACCTGATCAACCAGGCTGTGATTCATATGTCAGGCTGCGAGCAGCCGCGTCCAACAAGGTAAGGTAAGGTAACCTCAAGATAAGGTAAAGTAACGGGTTAGAAGTACGAATGAAGGAACAGCATTGAACCATGCAGGAGAGAAATACGTCAAAGCGACATCCAAATAGCCACTCTACACACAAATATTTTGCACACTGCAACACTGGAGACATCTTGGCAAAGTATAGCTCAGAAAAACAATTTCCAAGGAACCTAAACTATGATATTGTAAGTACACAAACTAAAGCACCACTAGCTGACCTGAAAGGGGAAGACTGTATCTAGTCATCCAGCTGAAACATGGCATAAGGAATTCAACCCAAGAACCACTGGTTGCATACATTTTCTAACTATGTATTTTGTAACTATATGTTTTTGATACTATATGTAAACATTAGACACACTCTTGAGTAGCCCAAAAAATCAAACTGAAACACTCAAGATTTCAACAATCCAAGAATAAACAGATTTTCTATTAGAAATCCTGAATTTTCACATAAGCCACCACACTTGACCAAGTCAAGACAACTTAATAAAATCCCAACCCACTAACCTTTCTAGACTATTCAGGATGTGAGGTTGTCGAGTCTGAATAGTGGCTGTTATCACAACGGTGATAACAGACCACAACATTGTGGTCCAAATAGCATTTTTTAGTTCCAGATAAATGCAGCCAACCCAATCATCTCTTTCTATAAAATCTGTGGCTCTATCAAAGATTTTTTATGCCTTCTTTTCATATGGCATCACACAAGGCCAAAGCTTAGAGATCTTAGTGCACTAGACAGCATGCTCTATCTGCAGCAGCAGCTAAAATAAGGATGAGGAAAACATGGATTTTAAATAAGGAAGAAAATACTATTCATATCGTTCGCAATACACTGTGAAACAGAGCTGTGCAAAACAGTTATTTGTGATACGAATTGAAGTATGAACATGTTCTGTATTGTGCTGGCCACTAGCGTCTTATCCCCACCAAAGCCACTAGTGTCTCTGGTTGGATAAAACAACAAAATTACTTGCGAAACATTCCGCCAGTTAATTATTTAAACCATCATGAGGGTGCTCGGATTTGACTTGCAACCAGCGAGGAGGCCGCAGGGAAGGTTCCCCAATAATATGCTAAACTCTTTACCCATAACACATAGCCAGATAAGGGTAGTGGAAGTGACAGTTGTTGCAGTGTGCACACTAAAGTTGATCACTTAACTACAAGGCCCAAAAACTAGAGTTTTTTCTCTGTCTGGAATAGGCCCCCCCCCCACATTTTAGGACCTGAAGAGAATAATTAATGCATACCTTCAGACCCCATTGGGGCATACAATCTTAAAAAGTGTGCATGTGAATGTGATAATCAATAATGTGATTTAGTAAACACAACTCTGACCAAGGAAACAAAACCCAACAATTATCCTACCCTGAATTGTGATGGTAAGCAACACTGGAATGCTCAATGGGTCGGCCTGTCAGCATTACGACTTGCTGAAATACTCAAATTATAACTTACATTTTCTAAGCTAAAATGTTAAAAAACAAGAACAAAATTGATAAAAGCATTCATCACAAAGTGAATAGCCTAAGCAAGCAGGATTAATCCATACTAAACAGCCAGAGCCCTATAAGATGGCCATATATAAAAGTCACAATATTTGTATACCGGGCAAGATAACTTGCTACTTTACTGCAATTACACCATACCTATATTCCCTATTATTCACATACATTAGTGCATTTAATACCAGAGCATGTTTTACTAATGAGAGTATGTATTGAAAAAATTTGTAGTACAATACAACTGTCTTCACATTTTGCCTTAAAATATACCTTAAAGCTTCATGTATAATTTATTGTGAAAAGGTTGCAAGACATACCATTGACTTTGACTTTTTGAAAATCAAATAAACTTTAGTAACCTTCTTTTGCTAATTGGTAACAAGCATAAAAGCTAATTGTATATTTTATAAGTTATTCGGAGGAATATAGATCACAATTCACTACTGAAGCACATAACCTATACAGTATATTGAAAATACATTCAATTTACATGGAGCAGATCAAGAAGCCTGCATTAATCAATACATACATGTATTAACCTTCATGTGATATTATTGTGACTTTCAAATGAAGTTATTTTTTTTTTTTTTTTAGAAACGATCAATTATAAATGTACAAACATTTATGAATGACAGAATTTAATGTTAAAATTTACAACCTAAATACTTACTGGTGCCAGACCAAATAGTCACAATATTCTCAAAGTAAACCTCTTCACTGTTCTGAGGACTTTCTTCACCCCATTCCACCTTTGCATACCCTTTTGACTTCACCAAGATTGCTGAAATGACAGAATTTGCAATTGGTGACAAAGCTTTCACAGTACATATTATTAGCTTTCTGAGCACTGTACAGTATTTTAATTTGCACATCAAAATAAATACTGTAGTAACAAAACTCCATTGTATTTTCTAATAAATATGTATACAAAAATATTTAAAGTAATGTTTTCTTAGACCTTACTACTGTATCAGTACAGTACTATACAACCGTTTGTATTACCACAAATGTTCAGTCATTTTCCGAATACTCCTTGTCGTACAGTACTGTACTTCAGTTGACTTCGTTCTCAACTAACAATCAGGGATCCCGATTTAAATTCCCAGTTGGGCACATTTACTTTCACCTAATGTCTCTGTTCATCTAGCAGCAAATAGGTAACCAGGAGTTAAGCAACTGTTCTGGAGTTACAGCCTGGGTAGGGTCAATAGATCGATTATGGGGGGGGGGGGGACCTCAATACGAGGTGCTCTCCAACAAAACTAATTAAAACCACTAAAACATATTTCAATTTTAAACTGAAAAGACTACACCAAAATGCATAAAGACTGCATATTTGCAACTAAGCTTAATTTTACAAGAATCTTTTCTCTTTGCTTTTCTTCAGGGAAGAAAAACTTTGAACTTACAACATAACTAACTCAATTCACTGAATTTGAGGTTCTCATTTTCTATACTTCACTTACCTTGTGGATTGTCTATTTTGATTTGTCCACATTTCTGGCAGCCTTTTCATGGTTTAGGTGATCTAGCATTCCCTGTTCCATGTACTTCTGTAGAGGAGGCCAGGTTTCAGACTCTGATCCTCGGTAGGCCTGCAATGATTTGCAAGGTCCTGGCATAGATGGAATTGGATAGAGCTATCCAGGTAGCTAGCACAGTGATGAAAAACTGACCTTCAGCTAACCTTCCGAGCCTTCCCAGAAATTAATATAAATTTATTAACAATCGGTTTAGCAGCCTAGTACTGTCCGTGAATCATTAAATATTCAGTACCTGTACTAACATTTCTAGACTAACAATTTTCATAGCCCATTGTAATATTTCATCTTGACACTTGCTTTCCAACAATGCATTTTACTGTCATCAGTAATTATTCATAATCCTTCTGACAACACCAAAATGTGTTATCTGATTTTGGCATTTTCTGAAAATCATTTCCTTAACCATTTTATTTGCTCCACGATGAAATTCATGAAATACAAGAGAACAGTGTGGGCAGAGCTCATCACGAGACCACCCAAGGTATTGGGGAAACAGCCAGAGATCACATCACCTGACTATACAATCATCCAAGATGCTAATTGCTCAGCCAACGTGCATCTCTCATCAATTAGCAAATTACCCAACAAAAAATTATACAAGAATAGAAATATTTGTTTTACTTTTACAGCTTTCTGGAAATGATCCAACATGTATTTGTTGGATCATTTAAGATACAGCAAGCCACATACAAGTCTGTCTCCCCATCCTTCAGAAACAAAGTGAACAGCATGGTAAGCATTTGAGGCTGCATGTGCTGATAACATGACCGGAGAAGAATCTACAAAGACAAAATGCCACTGGAAATCAGGAAATATAGATGTGGTGCTGCCATTTCCTAATCTTACAGGGCAAGGCAGAAGCCTACACCATATTGAGGGCATCAAAATAATAGACCCTAAAATACGCCAAAGACCACGGCATCCACACTTCAGTCTAAAATCTGCAAACGACAGGTAAACCACCGCTTCCCATGGAAAAATGACATTATTAGCCAGAACAAAACCATTCAGAGAGCATGTGGGAGTCGTAAAGATGGGAATGATCACTCAATGTGAATCGAGTTCAGCTCTGGCTAAAGGTGCAAGGCTCAACACAAAAGGTCGATATGAAAAGGGTCTATCCAGAGGAAGCACCCAAAACCCTCATAGAATAAGCTTAACTCTTCCAGTAGTGGTTAACAGAGTTTGCAGATAATGCCAGGGGGAAAAGAACTTTGAAATAAGAAATAACTAAACAAGGTTGCACAAAATACTTTTGTGCACAAAACACGCATGCCCGAAACGCTTTGCGTAATAGTGGCTTTAGGCATTGTATGTACTAGCTCTATCTATAAGTCCACCAATCTTTGTAAAAAAAATTCTTGTACGTATGTACCTTACCTAAATAAACATTTATTTATTTATTATTTATTATTTATTACTTAAGATAGCTAGCATGTTGGGAGCAGAGTACCAGGGAAGAGAGTGAGCTGGCTAGGATGCTGGGTGATCTGGACAATCACCTGGTGGCAGCCAGACAAAGTTGGGGGTAGGAGTAGTTGACCTGTTCCAACTTTCATTTTGTATCGAAATAAATTTTGTCAGAAAAATGGGGGGTCCCCTCAAGTAAATTCATGGAATGTTTTAATTTATTCTCATTCGGATGATGCTTGTTTTGTGATGTTTTTAAATGTTTGCACAGGTTCAACATATAACCTTAGTTCAGTTTTGCACAAGGTTTACCCAGAGCTTATCCATTCTACAAATTATGAAACAAATAAGATTGATAAAACTGACTGCAAAATTCAAGTTTACACACAAATGCAATGGCTTAAAAAAAATATATATATATATGAACTGCAATAACCTAAAGGACAACAACAACCTTTACACGCCGACCAAACTTCTATGCACGACATCACGCATGAGAGACCAAGACCACCACGACATGAAACTCATCAACCGACTACTCAAGCAGTGACTTGCCTCCTAGTACTCGCCCCGGTTTTTGTGTATTTTGGTGGTGAACTTTAAGATCATGTGCCCAAATTGGAAATAATCTTCCAGCGATTCCAGATGATCAACTGGAAAAGATCATCAGGGCAAATGGATGGGGGGGGGGGAACATTTGACAAGCCGTCAGCTTCCTGTCCTCGTCGAGGTCACTAATATTAGTGGCCCTCAAGTAAATTCAGGTAAATCTAAAAAATTATCCCGTGTGTCCATGGTAATATTAAAATGCAGAATAAAATTTATTAGTTATATTTGTATTATACTTTTTTATGGGATGAAAGAACAAAATGCTTGTAAGCATTCTTAAAGTCTGTTTAGGCAACCAAGAACTAGTATGATTTGTTTTAAAGGTACAGGTTTAGGAATTATATGTACTTCATAACTAGTAATTCCGATGTATAAAATAATGAAATACTAACAATAATAATGAACTCTTTGAAGGATGATGAGAAAATTATTATTTAACATGACAATTTGAACAAATAATTTATAAAACATGAACATCAAATTATAAGCTTTGGTTCAAATTGTAAAAACAGAAAATGAAAGAAAAATAAGGTTATTTTACTTTGAGACTTTTGCTGCTGCACCAACTATGACATTTTATACCAGACTTGTATTTGGTTATTTTGAGAGCTCAGCATGCAGACTAGTTTTATCACAAAGTCTACTACTATAATTAAGCTTGACAAAGTTCATCAGTGAAATGCAATAACTTGCATAAATATGTCAATGAAAGTACTGTATTGTTAATACTGCCATTTCAAGACTTTTCAGTCAAAAGTTTGGCAGTAAAGGAATTCCTGAATTTCTAAACCTCCTTTTCAGCAATTTTCTGCATTAATCCAGTCAGTAACCGACATCTTTCAATATTTTCTAGCTTGGCTCTTAAGTCGATACATTTTTGCCTCCAAACAGAGCTGTTTTGTAAATCAATCAATTGCATCTCAATATTATCTGAATCAATCCACTGCAACATTTCTAAATTCAGTGTACCTAATGTTACACTGTTTGCACATTTTATGCATTTTGCAGTTTCTACATGACCCTAATTTAGTAAATCTTAAAAGAAAATTTATCATCATCATAAAATTGATCATATGGAATTTAAAGAATCTAGAGTGGCACTGCATGTCACGTTTTAGCTAAATTTGCTCGTGTGTGTGTTACTGGGTACGAATGTCATAGGTTCACCACCTCTAGCCTAGGGTATGCTATGATATGCTATTGCCCTGCATTATTTTGGATAAGGTCCATGGGGCACTGTGCTCCTCAGATACTATATACATTAAAACAATTATTGTTGCCCTACTCATACGAAGCCAGTTGTCATTATAACTTGTAGTACTGTATAGAATACTCAATAAAAATCACAGCACCCTATGGATCTGTATCTAAATAGGACTACACACCATAAGCAGGCGATGAGTCACAATAACGTGGCTGAAGTATGTTGACCAGACCCCACACTAGAAGTTGAAGGGACGACGACGTTTCGGTCCGTCCTGGACCATTCTCAAGTCGATTGTCACAATCGACTTGAGAATGGTCCAGGACGGACCGAAACGTCGTCGTCCCTTCAACTTCTAGTGTGTGGTCTGGTCAATCTACACACCATAAACTAGAAGTCAGTTTATAGAAGTTAGGAATAACATACTTCCACTTCTATTTATAAAGAAGTGGAAGAAATCCACAATATAGAAGTTAGCTTATAATAGTTCCTTTAATAGTTAATATTGTCAGGGACAGGAAGTCTGTGTATGTATATATGTTAGTCTGATATTAAGGTCACCTGCCCCTCCCAAGGTCAAACAGCTGACCTTCCCTTGGATGCAAATCCACAACAGTTGACTAACTCCTGGACACCTATTTATTGCTAGGTGAACAGTGGCATTATGTAAAAGGAAAGGTGCCCAATCATTTGAAACAAAATCAGACATCCCTGATTCAAACCAGGGATGCCTGAATAAGTTGAGAATCAGTTCCTAGACAGCCCTGCATTTCCAATATGTTCTGCTTTTAAAATTAGTTACATTCTAAATATTATGGTATGCTATTTATGTAATAATTCAATGTCAAAAATCTTTGTCCTCAAACTGCACAAGTGTCAAGAGGATACTCTGGATAAAATTAAAGCCATTCCACAAGCCACAAATTTGGAGTCCGAGGAAAAAGGTAACCGAGATCGAGGTTACAATAGAAGGATCGGATGAAGATCCAGGTTATACCACCACATCTGACCATTTGAAGTCATCAATCAGCAATGTTTGGTGTACTGTACTGTTTATTGATTACCCCTATATTACGTTTTGTCGACGTGGATGGAAAGGACTTGGGGCCCAGCTCTGGAACTGGTTGTCATTATGTGCTTTGGTCTAGCATCAATGCTAGATGTACTTCATTTACATTTACATCATTTACAATACTGTAGTTTAAGAATTAAATACTGTATTACAATATTCAAAATGTGTTCAATCATGCTAATACACAACAATCTTCAAGTTGACTAATTTAAAAAAAAGCAAGTAATCTATTAGTTAATAATACTGTATACTGTATATTTCTTGCTTTAATTTTAATTTGTTTTATATTTCTTGTTTCATTAATTGTTTACATGTTTTTTAATTAACTTTAAAATTGCTGACAATGTAAATAGTGAATTATTCAATGATACAGGGAGGCAGCTGTAATTATTACAGGGATGTGGTGCAACTTGTCTAGGAAATAGGGAGTGACATCCCCAGACAGGAAGACCAACTTACAATTTAAGTCCATTTTTCTGGACAACCAGCACCTCATTCCTGAACGTGATGCACTACTGCTGGGGTGGTTCTTCTCCGGCCCCGACCATGGCGTTCTCTGGGGTTGGAGGTCCCTGTGCCCTTCTTCACCACCTTTGAGGTCAACCCTGGAACTCACAGTTCCTGCGACGGCGCTGGAACCAATCGTATTGGCGTATGCCTTTCCATTGGAGACTTTCAGCGCCGTGGAGAGAGGGGGAACCTGCTGCCTGGGTAACAGCTTCTCCCCCGAATCAACCTACCCTGGCTTTGCGCCCTAGTGAGGCCACTCCAGATCGACAACCAGAGCGCAGCTCCATAGTCTCCTGAGACTGATGGATGCCTACTACTACTACTGTTAACCTATATAAATGATATGCAGCTCAAGTCTTGTCACAGGCACCGCTCCTGTGCCAGGCAAGTCCACCACGGGCTCACTATAGCCCGTGCTACTTGCCCCGCTCCTGTGCCAGGTAAGTTACACAATAACAACAATCAAGTCTTGGGGAACAAATCTGACTAACACTGCAACACCAGTTTCTCACCACTCTCCAGAGGGTCGAAATGCAACAATAAAACAAATTTTTACATTTGTATTACATAACACATTTGTTTAGTATTATTGTCTATTTTTTTTTTTTACCCGAGGGCCACTACCACTAGTGGCCTCAAGGAGGACAGGAAGCTGGTGGCTTGTCAAAGGTCCCACCAATTGCCTTGATAAATAGGACAGAAAACAAGAGTGCCATTTCACATATTGTATAGATAATAACTCATGGCATACCCCCATCAAAACCATTAATTCAAAATTAAGCTGGAAGAAATCCTCAAGAATGAGGGAATCTTTGACAAGCTGCCAGCTTCCTGTCCCAGTTGAGGCCCCTAGAGATGGAAGGTAAATACAAGAGGTCTATACACGTTAATTCTGGGATATCTGTCACAGTGCGATTATGTAAAACAACCCCAGGACAAGTAGAGGTAAAGAAGGGTAATGTCCTGACCAGACTGTCTTTGTTCAGACAAACACACACAAACATCTAAGAAAGAACACCAGCTAAGAACCCACAAGAGCCTATATAATGTGGTAAGACAATAACAGAGCAGCGTGAGGAAGCACCAGGAGCAGCAGTCAGCGTGAAGCAGCAGCCCATTATTAACTCACAAGCGGCGGGCCTTTACCTCTACAAGACGTGACACTGTCTGCCCAGACCACCACACGGCCCACCACATCCTGCCCGCTGACGTAGGCTCGCTGCCCAGGCTCTAGCACCACATCGAACTTGTTGATGCCCATCAGGGAGGGGAAGGCAGCACTCGCGTCCTCCTGCGTCAGCGGCCCTCCACCAGGCACGGTTGCCAGTCTCTGTTGACAACCTCCACCTGATCCCTCCCCCACCACACACCCCACCAAGGACTCTCCACCTCAGCCTCCTCCAGTTTAGTCCGTATTTGGCCAACAATGACACCTTCCTCCTTATAACACTGACCTCACAGCCCCTCTCCTGTGCCAGGTAAGTCCACTACGGGCTCACCATAGCCCGTGCTACTTGGAACTTTTTGTTCCAAGTAGCGAATCTCAAACAACAACAACCTTCCTGCTGTCTTTTTATGGTGCATGTCTCAACTAACACATACACGGCTCTCCAGAGCCGAAGATCAACCCCCTGCATGTACAAATAGGTGAGTACCCCTCCCGCTGCCTTTTATGGTATTTGTGGCCATTAACAACACCTTCCCGCTGCCTTCTATGGTAGGCCAATAAAAACACTTCCACTGCCTTTATAGTATACACGGCCAATAACGACACCTTTTATGGTGTACATGTTGTAATGTATACGATTTTCTGTGACAAGATTATATAGTGTTTTTTATGTGTATTTATCTTGAGTCTTTTTATTTTGATATCTTAGATACAGCAGTCGGATGTTGGGAATGTGTCTGGGTACAAGTGACAGGATGAACAACCCAGCGGGTTTTCTTCCTATTGGGGAGTGTTGTACATTCTGCTATGGCGGTATGTTCACTCACAAGATGAGTGGCGCTGCCCAATAAACTCGCCCCTCGGGGCAAAATTTAAAAAAAAAAAAAAATGGCATGAGGATGCCTGTGCGACGCATGGGGCGAGAGCAGAGAGATCGAGCGAGGCCGGAGGGAGAGAGCTCGAATGCGGGATGAGAGCGGGTAGCTCCAGTATGGCCGGAATTGCTTTCTTCTCTGTACCAAGGCTGTACAGCGTCTTGTGAAAGCTACATCGTATGCTTGTGACTGTCGATGGTGTTGGAGAAGACCCGCGGTATATCCCGAGCATTTGTCACTGAATCCCTATTGGAGTTAGACTGACGACGCCCGATTGATTGATTGATGAAGACTAAGCCACCCAAGAGATGGCACGGGCACGAATAGCCCGTAATGACGACGCTCCATTCTTAACAACTCATATTCCAAGCATCACCTGACTTGGTAAGTTGACCATCATCTTGCTAGTTACGTTAGCTGTCCCAAGTGACGTAACTTCCTAATTACGTTAGCTGTCCCAAGTGATTCGTGGAACTTTTGGGAACAAGTATCTATTGTAATTAGTGTACATAGGATTATTGGAGAACCTCTTGGAATGTGGAATTCTTAGGGATATGTTGAATTAACAGTAACATTAATTCCCTGCAATAGGACTTCTGAGATCTTGTAGCAACTATATTAAGAGTAATATAGTTAGTTATTATATTAAGAGTAATATAGTTAAGAGTACAGTGTCCATTTACACACCACCCGCTGTCTTTTATGGCGTATTACCCGAATTTACCTGAGGACCACTAGCACTCTAGTGGCTTCGAAGATTCCAGGAAACTGGCGGCTTGTCAAAGTCCCCCCTCCATTTGCCCTGTTTTTTCTAGTTGGATATTAAAATTCAACAGTTTTGGCATTTACTGTTTCTGTGGATAGGCTGTTCCATGGGTTTATGGCTGTTCTGTGGGTGAAAAAAATTACTCTTTTCAGTCCTACATTGTGTCTTGTTGAGCTTGAAACCGTTGTTCCTTGTTTGTTTTTACATCTGACCTTCTGTATCATCCAATTTGTCCAGTATTTTAAAAATTTCGATGAGATCCGCCCTGTCATGCTCGTTAACAGCTAGTGCTTCAGCCCTGAGAGTTGACTTAGTTCTGGCACGATTTTTGTCGCCCGGTGTTGAGTTTTTTTCCAACGTAGCTATATATGGCTTTCTGAAGATGAGGCCTTCATGTTTAGATATAATAATCCGAGTGGCGCACAAGAGTTATGTAGTTGAAGCACCACCATATATTCCATAAACTCAAAGGTACGCTTGAATATTGGTAGGGATTTATTAAGTTTTTTTACTGCCGCTCCCACTTGTGCAACTTTCAGTGAATGATGGATTTTGATTCCAAGGTCCTTTTCTTCATCAATCTGCTGTAAGGGTAATGTTGTTCATTTGGTAGTCGTGACCTCAGGGTTGTTATGCCCCAAATGCAAGGTTATTCATTTTTCGATATCCATTAATTTATTTACATTGTTAGTCAACTCAATAAAGGTAATTTAATATGCAGATTTATTATATTATTAGTTTATTGTGTATTACTTTACATACATTACAGCGTATTTATTCTACTTTTATTTATATACAATATATTTATTATCTTTGGGATGAGGATGATGTTTAATGTTTCGTCCTGATTTTCATCTGGAGCCAGTAGGCCGAGTCCTGGGTGCCGTCGTCTTGAAGGGTCCAGTCTCGTCGGAGAATCTCCTCCTCCTCCACGAACACGCCGCCCGGAGAAGCCTCTCCACCCAAACCCAACCACCAACGGTCACCAAACGTGGCCACGCAGTTGCCTTGCAAATCAGGATAGATCAACTTTAGTATATGAGGTTTTTTTTTTACAATCAAGATCAGATAGTTGAGAGGCGGGACCAAAGAGCCGAAGCTCAACCCCCGTAAGCATAATTTGGTGAGTACTCACACACAGGTAAGGAGTACTTGAAGGACAGAAAACAAATATAATCACAGTCCAGAGACGAATTTTTAGTTGTCAGAATGTGACAAATGGTGTCCCCCCCCTCCCAGTGCTCGATCCTTGGACTACTTCTGTTCAAGATTTATGCAAATGACCTACTCTAATTGTTGTTGTTTAAGATTCGCTACTTGGAACAAAAAGTTCCAAGTAGCACGGGCTATGGTGAGCCCGTAATACCTCCTCTAAGGAATGAGCTTGTACATGTCAGTGTTTGCAGACGACTGAACAGCGGCATGAAGTGAAAGGAAACGCTTCCAAATTGTTTCTGTCCTGGCAGGGAATTGTATCTGAATTTGACGACTGAGAGTTGAAGACGTTCACCACTAGACCACGGGACTGACTGTAACCTACCCACTGCCGCCCCTGAATGGTCACGGGGAGACATAATATGCAAATCAAATTATATGAATTTAGCTCCCCTCAAATATACATTGCTTAACTTAGAAATTACTTGTAGTCCTGGTCTTGAACCCACTGTTGATATATACATTAAACTGTGTAACTATAGCTAATGAAGACTAACTTGTTTACTCAAATGAATTTGGAGGTCCAGTGCCTGAACCCATTATTTTTTTTTTTTTTTGAGATATATACAAGAGTTGTTACATTCTTGTACAGCCACTAGTACGCGTAGCGTTTCGGGCAAGTCCTTAATCCTATGGTCCCTGGAATACGATCCCCTGCCGCGAAGAAGCGTTTTTTCATCCAAGTACACTGGTTTGAACTGTTGCGTTAAACAGAGGCTACAGTTAAGGAATTGCGCCCAGTAAATGGAGGTCCCGGCCAGGATATTATGTGCCTCTAACCCATGACATAGCGCTCGCGGAACGCCAGGCGAGTGTCTTACCACTACACCACGGAGACTGTTTAGTCAAATGAATTTGGAGGTCCAGTGCCTGAACCCATTATGTGCCTCTAAAGTTTTCCACCACCGCCCACACGGTGCATGATTAATGAACTATAAAAAAGAAAGAAGCAAAGCTAATAAGGAATGTAAAAATCGAGGTCAAAAAAGCTAATGGAAAACAGATTCCAGGAGTGGCCAAACAAACGGTTGCTAGAATTCGGTCCTGACAAGTGTAAGGTGATGAAGACGGAAAAGTGAGAAAGGAGACCAGAAGGTGATCAACACCTCAAGGGAACTGCATCAGCAGGAACCCCAGAGATAAAACAATTTCGAAGCGGATATAATTCCAACACTAAGACATAAATAGGGTAACATCGACAGCACATGGGATGCTGGTTAACATGGCAATGTGGTTTAGAAACCTAAATTAGGACTCATTCAAGGTAATACTTGAATATGTAGCACCGGCCTGGAATCCCCACCTTGTGAAGCCTAAAACCAAAATTGAAAAAAGTACGATGTTTGAAAGAGTATTAATGTCTGGGACTCATTAATACTGCATTAATAATACTGCAGACTCATTAATCTGGGTTTAGCTATGCTAATAGGTTAAGCAAAACAGCCTCACAACCCTACAGGAGAGAAGAAACACAGAGCACATGATTACAACATACAAAATACTGAGATAAATTGATAAGTTCAGCTTCTTTAAACTTAGAGCAAGTTAGACGAGACGACATAATTGGAAGCTGGAATCACAAATGAGTCCCAGAAATACATAGACAAACTGTACAAGATGTGTACGGGCGGTCAACTATAGTAGAATGCACTGAAAGAAGATTCGAAAGAAGAAAGAAATGTGTGTGCGTGTGCGTGAGCGAAATATATATGTAGTAGACAAAATAAAGGAAAAAATAGACAGGCAAGAAAGGCGGGGTCCAAGAGCTAAAAACTCTATTCTGCAGGCACATAAATAGTAAATACACATACACGACGAATAATGCGGTCTGCGGAAGTTGCAAGCAATCATCATTTATTGACCACATTGAGGACATTGAACAAGCGAGCAGGCGGCCAGGAGAGTGCAGCTGCACAAGGTGAAGTGCTCCCACAACAGCACCTGTTGTAATCCACACCAACCATACCACGCAGCTGGTATCCGCGCCAGCGCACATGGACAACCCGGGAGACTGTAGAGAACATAATCAGCTGAGGGAGTGCGTTTAACGACGCGATCATATGGACGAAATGCGGCCTGTTTTTGAATAGAACTTGCAAGACAAAACAAACATTTGAGCAGATAGTGTTTCATGCCGAAAAAGATAAATTGCTTGGAAAGTGTGTTGAAAATTGGCCGTTAGTGAACATTGAAACAAGAAAGTACCATCTGACCCCCCCCCCCACAAAGTACGCTGTGTTTTCGCTCACCTGTTACCTAGCAGTAAAATAGGTACCTGGGTGTTAGTCAGCTGTCACGGGCTGCTTCCTGGGGGTGGAGGCCTGGTCGAGGACCGGGCCGCGGGGACACTAAAAAAAGCCCCGAAATCATCTCAAGATAACCTCAAGAAGATAACCCAACCTTCAGTGCCCATCAGTTTCAATTTGAAATTGTGAATGTTGCCCAAAGAGGGTGGAACCTTCTTAGTCTGTCTTCTATCCTTTGACCAGAAGAATTCCATCATTGGAATTCACCCCAAGTGAGTGTTGGAGGCCAACACTCACTTGGCCTCCAGATGACAGGAAGATGGGACGTCTCTCACCACAGAGTAAGAGGACGTGACGTCGTAATGACGTATCTGTGCAAGGTTATTTGATCATTTCCTCCGCCTTGATCTCGTTTTAAAATAGAATCGTCCACATATTTATTGTTGGCGCTTGTCGGGGATGTGAGCAGGAACACAACTGCTCGCGTTATATGAAGCAAAAGATGAATACAGATATACTAACCGTTTTTATTTAGTAATATATTCAAGAGTTCTTACATTCTTGTATAGCATGCATAGCGTTTCAGGCAAGTCCTTAATCCTAATTTTCCCCGGTATAGGACCCGCCAAATCGTTTAACAACCAGGTACCACCTATAGTCACTGCTCGATGATCAGAGGCTACAGTTAAGGACTGACGCCTAGTCAACCCTTCCCAACCAGATACCAACCCCAGCCAAAGTGCTCGCGAAGCGCCGGGCAAGTGAGTGTTTTACCACTGCGCCACGGGGACTCAAACTATTTGCACCAAAATACAAATATGTAGTGACACTTTTTTTGTAAACCACTTTTTGTGCTATTAATTTTATAAGAGTCCAGAAAAATAAAGCTAAAAACTAAACTTAAATATTCCTAGGCCTAGCATCGCATATATATATATATATATATATATATATATATATATATATATATATATATATATATATATATATATATATATATATATATATATATATATATATATATACTATATTAGGCCTATGATAACGTGTATTAGGCCTATGATAACGTGTATTAGGCCTAGGATTGCTAGCAGAGGTTTAGTTAGGTCAGGTTAGGTCTGATTTTTTTGTTGCAGATAAAATGATTTCCAGTTTGTCCTAGATTGTATCTGGATGAGGTTCTGGGAGCTTTTCCTATTCCCCAAGCCCGGCCCGAGGCCAGGCATGACTTGTGAGAGTTTGGTCCAACAGGCTGTTGCTTGCAGCGGCCCGCAGGCCCACATATCCACTACAGCTCTTTTGGTCCGGCACTTCTTGCAGAAAACTGCCCAGTTTATTTCTTGAAGATTTCCACTTTTGTCCTAGCAATATTTCTTACACCTGCTGGGAGGATACTAAATAACCGAGGACCTGTGATGTTCATACAGTGTTCTCTGCGCCTATGACATTTCTGTTCTCTCCAAATTCAATAATAATAATAATAATAATAAATAATTTTTATTCAGGTAAGGTACATACATAAAGAGATTTTACAAAGTTTGTTGGCTTTATAGATAGAGCTAGTACATACAATGCCTAAAGCCACTATTACGCAAAGCGTTTCGGGCAGAATAACACAAAAAGTCAACTTTCTAGTGGCCCATCACAACATATTGGTTCTTTCCACCAAATAGTTACTATAAGTACTATCATTTCAGGAGGATGGGCAGGTTAGGAAGACCTCCATACGGAGTAGGGTCAAAGACCTGAGAAAAGTATACACTCACTGCATCGCTACTCTACCCACATGCCCACTCACATCACTGGGCATGTACGCTCTTGAGTACATTCCCAGTCACATCACTGGGCATGTATACGCTCTTGGGTACATGCCCAACATCTGTGGTTTGGATGTGGTTTGCCATCAAAGAAAAAACTGCCTCGGCTCGGTAGCCATTACATCATTTGAGTAACAGTTGGTAACATAGACAAGTTATAACTGAAAATAATAGCTAATAAAAGTTACCTCTGAAGCTGGTAAAAGTTACCGTGAATTATCTATAAATAAAAGTTACCGTCGGTGGTGGAGCTGGAGTCGACTGAGGCGGCCTCGCTCTCCGCAGTGCTGCTGTTGGAGTAGCTGAGAACGTCGGTGAGGGAGGGCGCGTCGCCGAACGTTCTGCTGCTGGTGTACTGCCCCTCCTGCACCTTGAACCTGTGGGGGAAGACCTTATCATACACACGTTTGTATCACACGTACAGACCAGCTCGCCCTGTACGTGTTGGCGAGGTCTGGCGGCAGCGGTGGGCGAGGTTTGGGGGCCAAGTTGTCTCACTATCACATTAAAAAAGAGCGCAAGACTATTCATACTTCATTATCCCGAAATGAAGCTCCATATTGACGAACATTAAATGAGATAAATAACTTAGACCTACAGCACAAAACAGAGAAATTACGAGAAAAGTACAAAGATAATGAATTATAATTCAAGGATAGCAGAGAGGGAATAAAATCATCAGAAAGACTAAACAAAAAATATACCTGGAAATTACTGGTAAGTGTCAAAGTTCAAGTTCAAGTATGTTTATTGTTTGTGATGTGTCAAGAAATACATCTCAAAGGGATAGAGTAGCTTAGGCTATTTTTCTACTTATTTCCCCCTCTTACTGGTAAAGTACCATGGGGGAAAGTGTCAATACATCACTTGAGCGACAGTAGCAGGTACTCACCCCGAGGCCTTGTCCCCCACAGCGAAGGTGGACCACTGGCTCCAGCAGCTGGTGCCGTCTGGGCCCCTGACGTCAACCTGAAGCAACTGCTCGGCCACGCTAGTCAGCTGGTGCAGCGCCTCCATGCCTACGGTAGCAGGGAGGGAGGGGAATGAGAGGCAGGAAAGTTGAATAATGGTAGCAGGGAGGGAGAGGGGGAAATATTAATTGGAGGATGAGAGGGAGAGATCAAAGAATAGGAGAAGAGAATAAAAGTGAAACTAACAGTAATCTAATCTAATTACAGTAATTTAATTTTCCTAGGAGCAAAGGAAACTGCAATTTGTAATTTAATCCAATGCTTTCAAAGCGAGCACATACACACACACACACACACACGCCCTTTGAGAAACACGTATTTCGGAACCAAACACTGTGCCACATACACGCTTCCAGGCCATACAACTAGTCTGTGTTCGGTGTGGGAGCGAACACAGGTAAATAAATTAATTCGTAAGACTCATTGTCCTGGCTTGTGCACTACGAGTAGACGATATCCACATCTGCAAGACTTTGCTGCATGGATACGGAGGAGAAATACAAAACTGTCCTCCATCTTACGCCGCACAGTCGATCCTGTATAACATCAAAACATGACTTTTGCCATAAACTAATTTTGCCAAACCAACAGCTGTCACGTGGCCCTCACACTATGTGCAAGGGGATATATTTTGACTAAACTCACACAGTATATGACCTATAGAGTTTCACCCATGTGAAAGTCTTCACACCACCTCCAAGTAACTATACTCCACCCGCTGCTGTCTTCTCCAGCATGACAGCATGGCTCGTCACCATCTTCAACCCTTCCTCGATCACCACCTGTACCTCCTCGGTCACCAGCTCTACCTCCTCGGTCACCAGCTCTACCTCCTCGGTCACCAGCTCTACCTCCTCGGTCACCAGCTCTACCTCCTCGATCACCAGCTCTACCTCCTCGATCACCAGCTCTACCTCCTCGGTCACCAACTCTACCTCCTCGGTCACCACCTGTACCTCCTCGGTCACCAGCTCTACCTCCTCGGTCACCACCTCTACCTCCTCGGTCACCACCTCTACCTCCTCGGTCACCAGCTCTACCTCCTCGGTCACCAGCTCTACCTCCTCGATCACCAGCTCTACCTCCTCGATCACCAGCTCTACCTCCTCGGTCACCAACTCTACCTCCTCGGTCACCACCTGTACCTCCTCGGTCACCAGCTCTACCTCCTCGATCACCAGCTCTACCTCCTCGATCACCACCTCCTCGGTCACCAGCTCTACCTCCTCGGTCACCAGCTCTACCTCCTCGGTCACCAGCTCTACCTCCTCGGTCACCAGCTCTACCTCCTCGATCACCAGCTCTACCTCCTCGATCACCAGCTCTACCTCCTCGGTCACCAACTCTACCTCCTCGGTCACCACCTGTACCTCCTCGGTCACCAGCTCTACCTCCTCGGTCACCACCTCTACCTCCTCGGTCACCAGCTCTACCTCCTCGGTCACCAGCTCTACCTCCTCGGTCACCACCTGTACCTCCTCGGTCACCAGCTCTACCTCCTCGGTCACCACCTCTACCTCCTCGGTCACCACCTCTACCTCCTCGGTCACCACCTCTACCTCCTCGGTCACCACCTCTACCTCCTCGGTCACCAGCTCTACCTCCTCGGTCACCAGCTCTACCTCCTCGATCACCTACCTCCTCTCACCAGCTTTACCTCCTCGGTCACCAGCTTTACCTCCTCGGTCACCAGCTTTACCTCCTCGGTCACCAGCTTTACCTCCTCGGTCACCAGCTACCGGTCGGTCACCAGCTCTACCTCCTCGGTCACCAGCTCTACCTCCTCGGTCACCACCTGTACCTCCTCGGTCACCAGCTTTACCTCCTCGGTCACCAGCTCTACCTCCTCGGTCACCAGCTCTACCTCCTCGGTCACCAGCTCTACCTCCTCGGTCACCACCTCTACCTCCTCGGTCACCACCTCCCTCTGTACCTCCTCGGTCACCAGCTTTACCTCCTCGGTCACCAGCTCTACCTCCTCGGTCACCAGCTCTACCTCCTCTTTCCTCGGTCACCAGCGGTTCTACCTCCTCGGTCACCAGCTCTACCTCCTCGGTCACCACCTCCTCGGCTCTACCTCCTCGATCACCCACCTACCTCCTCGGTCACCAGGTTACCTCCTCGGTCACCAGCTCTACCTCCTCGGTCACCACTCTACCTCCTCGGTCACCCTCTACCTCCTCGGTCGTCACCATCTTCAACCCTTCCTCGATCACCACCTGTACCTCCTCGGTCACCAGCTCTACCTCCTCGATCACCAACTCTACCTCCTCGGTCACCAGCTCTACCTCCTCGGTCACCAGCTCTACCTCCTCGGTCACCAACTCTACCTCCTCGGTCACCAGCTCTACCTCCTCGGTCACCACGTCTACCTCCTCGGTCACCAGCTCTACCTCCTCCCCACATACTGCTTTTGAGAACCAGCATTCCTATCATGCCTCAACCCGTGCACCTGAACCACTGTATCCATGCATGGGCACCTGACCTGGACTCTTGTATCTGTAAGTGGTGAGAGCTTCCAAACACACGCCGGAAGTAACTCTCACACCAGAAAAGGTTGAGTGCATCAGAACTGATAACTTCTCTAATACTGATCAGCGTGTTGTTCATACTAAATGTCTTGAGGTAGGGGAGACATGATCACTACCTACAAAATTTTCAGAGGAATTGACAGAGGTAGACAAAGATAAACTTTTTAACACGGGTGGTACGCGAACAAGGAGACACAGGTGGACTCTGAGTACTCAAAATGAGCCACAGAGACGTTAGAAAGAACTTTTTCAGTGTCAGAGTAGTTAACAGATGGAACGTATTAGACAGTGATGTGGAGGCTGACTCTATACACAGTTTCAAATGTAGATATGATAGAGCCCAGTAGGCTCAGGAATCTGTACATCAGTTGATTGACAGTTGAGAGGCAGGACCAAAGAGCCAGAGCTCAACCCCCGCAAGCACAACTAGGTGAGCCTCTGTCAATAAGGAAAGATTAACTTGAACGCGTCAACTGCCCAACCGCTTAATTGAGAAAAAACAAATAGAAGTAGTTAATTTTATTATTGTTATATTTCAAGTTGCTGCTAGCCGGTTAAAATATTGTAGCGGGCTGAATATATGGCCCGCGGGTCAAGTTCAAGTTCAAGTATGTTTATTGAGATAAGCAAGAAATACATCTCAAAGGGATAGAGTAGCTTAGGCTATTTCTACCCCCCCTTTCCCGCGGGTCGTAGTTTGAACCTAGATGATTGACTTACAGATCGTAAACCAGCCCGTCCTCCTAAGATGTACCAGCGTCAACAAACTGTCGTAGTCGTACTACAACCAGTCCTCCTACAAAGAACTTTTCTTTTCGCTCGTATGCGTTACATAAGGCTAAAAACTGTCGTACAATTTTTGGTTAATATTGAAGTTTAATTTTTGTATATACGAAGCGTTCAAGGTAACGTGTGGCACGTGTGTGTGTATATTTAGCATGTTTGGGGATGTGAACAAAGGAGCTCTATCTTGTCTGATGACAATTTATTATAGTCTTAGTAGCTGTTTTTTTACTAGTGATGTGTTGATGGGTAGCTTATGGTGACTGGGCCCCGGGCAAACATACCACGAGACGGGGGATACATTTGTAATATAATGTGATTTTTTTTGGTTATGTGTCGTACTCACCTATTTGTACTTATCGCGTTGTACTCACCTAGATGTGTTCAGGTAGTAGTACGAGCGACGTCTCCAGGGTCCAGGCTCTTATTAACTCTTAATCGGCTGATATATTGGTTCCAGAGCTTATTGTGCTCTGTCATATCTGCATTTGAAGCTGTGAATGGAATTTGCCTCCACCACTTCTTAGCGTATTCCAAATGTTCACTATTCTGACACAGAGTTTTTTTTTATAATGTCTCTGTGGCTCATATGAGTAGCTTCTATGTTCCTTTGTTGGTATACTACCCCAGCTAAATAATGTGTCCTTGTCTGCTCTGAGTATTTTTGTATGTAGCAATCGTGTCTCTCCTGTTTCTTCTTTCTTCCAGTTACGTGAGGTTCCACACCTTGTCACTGGAAGAGAGAAGAGACATGGGAGACATGATTACCACATACAAAATACTTTATTGTATGTCTGTGCTGAAGTTAGGTCTATTGTTAACAGATAGGCCTAGGAATCTTCCCACTCTTGTTTTACTCTCGCTCTCATAATTTTTATTTCAAGATTTATTTGGTCAGACGGTTTGTTTAAAAAAATGTATTTAATATTTTCAGGAATAACCTATAACATAGTTCTTTGCATCAAGAATCTCCAACAGATTAAGGAGAGCTGGTGTTCTATGAAGTTTGAATTTTATCATCATGAGGAAGTAGAAAATCTATTTTCCCCTTATCATTTATCTTCCGCAATATCACTGAATGGACTCACTTACTACCCTGTAATTGTTCTTGGATATTGAACTTGAACAAAACCTATGGGGATTTAACTGTCCCTAACCAAACATTCTGTACTTACGTGGCTTAACACTAATGTTTAGGCACAAACTCTTGTATTCATTTACATCCTCAGAATATAGTTCATGGAGTGGGATCCGGAACGGAAACATTATGGGGCTTACTTACTTACTATACATCGGATAGTAGGCTAGTGTTACCATGGGGTGGATGATTTGCTCCCTTCCTCCCTTAACCACTTTGAGGAGTGAGGGGTTTTTAATATAGCCTCTGGGCCCCCTATTCTCCATCACATTCACTCCAAAAAATCTACCACCTACGGGTTATTCATGCCCATGCCTCCTCTTGGGTAGCTTCATTTTCATCAATCATCAAAATTCCCCCTCCCCCCCTTTCCCCCCAACTACAAGGCATGGGGAGAGGTGGAAGACCCTAAGCACACATGTTATATACTGCATATTGTTGCACATAAGAACACACTCAGAGAAAAGTATATAGTAGATTTGATAGATGAAATACGTCGGGAGATGCCTCATTACACAACCTAGGTTAGAAAGCCGGGGTCCCAAGAGCTAAGAGCTTGATTATATACATGGGTGAAATATGTGACTGTGTGAATACAGTGAGGAAAGTGGTACCTAGCCAGTACTGCCTAAGGGGAGTGCCGAGGCCGTAGCGGTAGTGGTCCCAGGAGGGGGTAGTGTCATGGCCGCCAGTGTTGTTGTTGTTGGTGGTGCGGGCGAGAACCACCGTCCACCCGCCGCCCTCGCTGCTCATGTCGCACCACACTTTCACTCCCTTCCCCTTCCGCCTGTACAAATGTAACTTATAATACAAACAAAAATATATATATACTGTATTTATGTAAATCACATTATATGAATTTAGTTTTAATCAAAAAAGTACCAACTGGTTATAAGTTACCACACCAGACGGGAAATTTATATATATAAGGGGCCCCTTCTTCCAGCTCGATGTGGTACTCCTTTTCATATATATTATATATATTATATATATATATATATATATATATATATGTCGTACCTAGTAGCCAGAACTCACTTCTCAGCCTACTATTCAAGGCCCGATTTGCCTAATAAGCCAAGTTTTCATGAATTAATATATTTACTATAATTTTTTTCTTATGAAATGATAAAGCAACCCTTTTCTCTATGTATGAGGTCAATTTTTTTTTATTGGAGTTAAAATTAACGTAGATATATGACCGAACCTAACCAACCCTACCTAACCTAACCTAACCTATATTTATAGGTAAGGTTAGGTTAGGTAGCCAAAAAAAGCTAGGTTAGGTTAGGTTAGGTAGGTTAGGTAGACGAAAAAACATTAATTCATGAAAACTTGGCTTATTAGGCAAATCGGGCCTTGAATAGTAGGCTGAGAAGTGCGTTCTGGCTATTAGGTACGACATATATATATATATATATATATATATATATATACATTATATATATATGTTAGACCACGAAGGAGGAAGGATTAAGACAGGAAATTCCTTAAGTACTTTCGTATTTAATAATACATCTTCAGAAGGATCCCTACTGAACACAACTAAGTGAGCGAGCAAGCACAGGGGGTGTGTTAAGTACTGTGAGGAAGCACAGTACTGAGCGCACCCATGTGGAGCTGCACAGTGCACACAACACCCAGGACCTACCATGGCACATATCTCTATGCTCACTCATGTTATACTGCCTTCACAACTGTATTATCTGGTGGTCGTCTTAGATTATACACGTCCCGTGGCACTGTTTGATGATCCGTGGCACCCTCTGCCACGGCTATAGGGTGGTAGAGGGTGAGGCTACGAGGCTATACGACCTTTCAAACCATCAGCCAATAACAGGTGAAGGATTATCATCTGTAGCTACATTACACTGTACAGTTCCGCCAAGTTGAGATAGGTGTTCCTGATAATGACACGAAGTGTAAACTATGTGGTATGTTAAGGTCTCACACCCTTGCCCATTATGTTCTTGATTGTCCGTTGATTAATGTATATAGAAACACTGAGATAAGGACTGTTCCTGAACAAATAGCCTGGATGTGTCACAACGGAAAGGTTGATGATATTCTTGAGAGATATAAGAACTTTGCACAAAAACTGTAATCTTTTGTTGAATTATCTGCATGTCTCTTGCAAATTGTCTATACAGTATTCCTAGGTCATAAAAGTATTTGTGTGTACGTCTGATACCATACTACTTGTGTAAAGGAGGAAATGTATATGTTTATCTCTCAGAATGTTTGGTAATATGTTTAATGTTTGTGATGTGTGTCTATGTATGTATTAACACGATGTACTGAACGGGGTGAGAATAGCTTGAGCTACCTCATCCCTTTGTGTGTATTTTACCTCAATAAACTTATTTCAATTTCAATTTCCTCCAAGAAGACGCTTACATTCAGCCACCAGAGATCGCAGTGGCCGGTCACGGGCAAACTTGACCTCTCACTTCAGTCTTTCAAAAGAACAATTTTACATAATTATTTTAACTACTCCCAGACTAACAACATCGCAAACATGAGTGTATACTTTGTGGATGATGATCTTTGGGAGAGTTAAAGTCCTGGGACCAGATTCACGAAGCAGTTACGCAAGTACTTAGGAACGCGTACATCTTTCGTCAATATTTGACGGCTTTGGCTACATTTATTTAACAGTTTACAAGCATGAAAACTTCCCAATCAACTGTTGTTATTGTTGTAAACTGCCTCGTGGTGCTTCAGAGCTCATTAATTGCTTAATAATAGTAAACAAAGCGGTCAAAAATTGAGAAAAGAATGTATAGGTTCGTAAGTACTTGCGTAACTGTTTCGTGAATCTGGCCCCAGACACCCACCTGGAAGGATAGATGATGTAAGTACCACTGGACCGATACCCATCATCTTGGTGCTCCTTGCAGCTCCTCCTGGGGGCGTGGGAAGACAAGTGTTGATGTTAGCTGCACTGAAAGGAATGTACGGCATAGGAAATAATATTGCCTAAGCTAATTAACTATAAAAATCAAATACCCAGGACGAGTTTACGGAAGTAGCCTAACTGAAAACGTATCGAAATAATGGACAAATGGAAATAAACTTTTCAGATATATTAAGACTATTCAATGGCCTAGTCGATAGAGCGTCTGCCTCACATGGTCCGCGGTTCGAGTCTCCTACAGCCCAGGTGAATGAAACTTATACACTTTCACGAGCACTTACACAAATATCCATTTCACACATAGTCAAAAATGCTAATTTCACAATCTTACTTATACATACAGACTTTCACAAACATAATTACAAGCACTCACATACAAACACAATTTGAACACTGACACAAATACTAATTTCATGAACACAAACATACACAGGCAAACACAAACTCGTACAAACGCATACACACACACATGTATGTGTATACAATCTATCCTCCTGCTTAGACAGTATAGTATCTATTGTGATGATCTTACAGTAGAGTATTATAGTTTATGCTACTAGAGTTAGCAGCCTCTACAGTACATAAACCATACATCGTTTGTGTTTTGCGTAATATGAGAACCGATTAAATTTATGCAAATTTTTTTAATATAAAGTAGTAGGCTTTAAATTCTTGGATTATATTTTTCACTTAGAATTACAAAGATATAAAGTATATGAACATTTTTGCTCACAGAGTTTATATTTTGTTATGTTATTTGTCATATATACAAGAGTTGTTAAATTATGCGTACTAGTGATTTTACAAGAGAGTTTCGGGCAGGTCCTTAATTCTAATTTTTCCCGGAATACGACCCGCCAAATCGTTTAACAACCAGGTAACAATTTTACTGTTGGATGAACAGTGCCGTACAGTCAATCCTCCTCGGCCAGAATACGAACCCAGGCCAAATGGCTGGCTAAGAGCGGGACGAGTGTGTTACCACTGCCCCACGGGGCTGTAGCCTGATCTACTCCGACAATACTTGTGTAAAGGAGGAAATGTAGATGTTTATCTCTCAGAATGTTTGGTAATATGTTTATTGTTTGTGATGTGTTTATATGTATGTATTAACACGATGTACTGAACGGGGTGAGAATAGCTTGAGCTACCTCATCCCTTTGTGCGTATTTTACCTCAATAAACTTATTTCAATTTCAATTATTCCTACAACATTTGGTGCAAACTCCCCAGGGGTACTCGGTTTACCCATACCCAAAGGCGTATTTTACGTCTTTTACAAAGGCGTAAAATAACGTATAAAAGCCTCTTTACTTTATTACATCATCCGTAGATATGTAGATCCTACTTCATAGTAAAATATTCCTACATACATCAAATATAAATTTCTAAAAACAACAACTTGTAGTTCAAATTTCAAAATAAATAATGTTTTGCAAAGAATCTTTTTATTATTTACGAGAAAATAATATTGTGTAAAGGAAAAAAATAATTGGTTTAGTGCCTTACCTCCTGTGTGAGTTGAGGTGACTTACAGCCCCCTTACTTGTGTCAACACGATACCACACCCTGAGATGTGTTGTACGGTCTCTCTTGGCAGGTGTTGTATCGTCTCCCTTGACAGGTTTTGCATCGTCTCCCTTGACAGGTGTTGTATCGTCTCCCTTGACAGGTGTTGTATCGTCTCCCTTGACAGGTGTTGTATCGTCTCCCTTGACAGGTGTTGTATCGTCTCCCTTGACAGGTGTTGTATCGTCTCCCTTGACAGGTGTTGTATCGTCTCCCTTGACAGGTTTTGTATCGTCTCCCTTGACAGGTATTGTATCGTCTCCCTTGACAGGTATTGTATCGTCTTCCTTGACAGGCGTCGTGCTCTCTCCTGTGGCGGGCGTCGTGCTCTCTCCTGTGGCGGGCGTCGTGCTCTCTCCTGTGGCGGGCGTCGTGCTCTCTCCTGTGGCGGGCGTCGTGCTCTCTCCTGTGGCGGGCGTCGTGCTCTCTCCTGTGGCGGGCGTCGTGCTCTCTCCTGTGGCGGGCGTCGTGCTCTCTCCTGTGGCGGGCGTCGTGCTCTCTCCTGTGGCGGGCGTCGTGCTCTCTCCTGTGTCAGTAGGTATAACATTTTTGAACATTACTCCTACCTTATCTGTCGTGGCAGACGTTGTACTCTCTCCTGTGAAAGGCGTTGTACTCTCTCCTGTGGCAGACGTTGTACTCTCTCCTGTAGAAGGCGTTGTACTCTCTCCTGTGGCAGGCGTTGTACTCTCTCCTGTGGCAGGCGTTGTACTCTCTCCTGTGGCAGGCGTTGTACTCTCTCCTGTGGCAGGCGTTGTATTCTCTCCTGTGGCAGGCGTTGTACTCTCTCCTGTGGCAGGCGTTGTACTCTCTCCTGTGGCAGGCGTTGTACTCTCTCCTGTGGCAGGCGTTGTACTCTTTCCCGTGTCAGTAGGTATAACATTTTTGAACATTACTCCTACCTTATCTGTCGTGGCAGGCGTTGTACTCTCTCCTGTGGCAGACGTTGTACTCTCTCCTGTGGCAGGCGTTGAACTAGCTCCTGTGGCAGGCGTTGTGCTCTCTCCCGCGGCAGGCGTTGTGCTCTCTCCCGCGGCAGGCGTTGTGCTCTCTCCCGCGGCAGGCGTTGTGCTCTCTCCCGCGGCAGGCGTTGTGCTCTCTCCCGCGGCAGGCGTTGTGCTCTCTCCCGCGGCAGGCGTTGTGCTCTCTCCCGCGGCAGGCGTTGTGCTCTCTCCCGCGGCAGGCGTTGTGCTCTCTCCCGCGGCAGGCGTTGTGCTCTCTCCCGCGGCAGGCGTTGTGCTCTCTCCCGCGGCAGGCGTTGTGCTCTCTCCCGCGGCAGGCGTTGTGCTCTCTCCCGCGGCAGGCGTTGTGCTCTCTCCCGCGGCAGGCGTTGTGCTCTCTTCCGCGGCAGGTGTTGTGCTCTCTCCCGCGGCAGGCGTTGTGCTCTCTCCCGCGGCAGGCGTTGTGCTCTCTACCGCGGCAGGCGTTGTGCTCTCTACCGCGGCAGGCGTTGTGCTCTCTACCGCGGCGGGCGTTGTGCTCTCTCCCGCAGCAGGCGTTGTGCTCTCTCCTGTGGCAAGTGTTGTGCTCTCTCCTGTGGCAGGCGTTGAACTACCTCCTGTGGCAGGCGTTGAACTAGCTCCTGTGGCAGGCGTTGTACTCTCTCCTGTGGCAGGCGTTGTACTCTCTCCTGCGGCAGGCGTTGTACTCTCTCCTGTGGCAGGCGTTGTACTCTCTCCTGTGGCGGGCGTTGTACTCTCTCCTGTGGCGGGCGTTGTACTCTCTCCTGTGGCGGGCGTTGTACTCTTTCCTGTGTCAGTAGGTATAACATTTTTGAACATTACTCCTACCTTATCTGTCGTGGCAGACGTTGTACTCTCTCCTGTGAAAGGCGTTGTACTCTCTCCTGTGGCAGACGTTGTACTCTCTCCTGTGGCAGGCGTTGAACTAGCTCCTGTGGCAGGCGTTGTGCTCTCTCCCGCGGCAGGCGTTGTGCTCTCTCCCGCGGCAGGCGTTGTGCTCTCTCCCGCGGCAGGCGTTGTGCTCTCTCCCGCGGCAGGCGTTGTGCTCTCTCCCGCGGCAGGCGTTGTGCTCTCTCCCGCGGCAGGCGTTGTGCTCTCTCCCGCGGCAGGCGTTGTGCTCTCTCCCGCGGCAGGCGTTGTGCTCTCTCCCGCGGCAGGCGTTGTGCTCTCTCCCGCGGCAGGCGTTGTGCTCTCTCCCGCGGCAGGCGTTGTGCTCTCTCCCGCGGCAGGCGTTGTGCTCTCTCCCGCGGCAGGCGTTGTGCTCTCTCCCGCGGCAGGCGTTGTGCTCTCTCCCGCGGCAGGCGTTGTGCTCTCTCCCGCGGCAGGCGTTGTGCTCTCTCCCGCGGCAGGCGTTGTGCTCTCTCCCGCGGCAGGCGTTGTGCTCTCTCCCGCGGCAGGCGTTGTGCTCTCTACCGCGGCAGGCGTTGTGCTCTCTACCGCGGCAGGCGTTGTGCTCTCTACCGCGGCAGGCGTTGTGCTCTCTCCCGCGGCAGGCGTTGTGCTCTCTCCCGCGGCAGGCGTTGTGCTCTCTCCCGCGGCAGGTGTTGTGCTCTCTACCGCGGCAGGCGTTGTGCTCTCTACCGCGGCAGGCGTTGTGCTCTCTACCGCGGCAGGCGTTGTGCTCTCTACCGCGGCAGGCGTTGTGCTCTCTACCGCGGCAGGCGTTGTGCTCTCTACCGCGGCAGGCGTTGTGCTCCTACCGCGGCAGGCGTTGTGCTCTCTCCCGCAGCAGGCGTTGTGCTCTCTCCTGTGGCAAGTGTTGTGCTCTCTCCTGTGGCAGGCGTTGAACTACCTCCTGTGGCAGGCGTTGAACTAGCTCCTGTGGCAGGCGTTGTACTCTCTCCTGTGGCAGGCGTTGTACTCTCTCCTGTGGCAGGCGTTGTACTCTCTCCTGTGGCGGGCGTTGTACTCTCTCCTGTGGCGGGCGTTGTACTCTTTCCTGTGTCAGTAGGTATAACATTTTTGAACATTACTCCTACCTTATCTGTCGTGGCAGACGTTGTACTCTCTCCTGTGAAAGGCGTTGTACTCTCTCCTGTGGCAGACGTTGTACTCTCTCCTGTGGCAGACGTTGTGCTCTCTCCTGTGGCAGAGGTTGTGCTCTCTCCCGCGGCAGGCGTTGTGCTCTCTCCCGCGGCAGGCGTTGTGCTCTCTCCCGCGGCAGGCGTTGTGCTCTCTCCCGCGGCAGGCGTTGTGCTCTCTCCCGCGGCAGGCGTTGTGCTCTCTCCCGCGGCAGGCGTTGTGCTCTCTCCCGCGGCAGGCGTTGTGCTCTCTCCCGCGGCAGGCGTTGTGCTCTCTCCCGCGGCAGGCGTTGTGCTCTCTCCCGCGGCAGGCGTTGTGCTCTCTCCCGCGGCAGGCGTTGTGCTCTCTCCCGCGGCAGGCGTTGTGCTCTCTCCCGCGGCAGGCGTTGTGCTCTCTCCCGCGGCAGGCGTTGTGCTCTCTCCCGCGGCAGGCGTTGTGCTCTCGCCCGCTGCGGGCGTCGTGGTCTCTCCCGCAACAGGCGTCGTGCTCTCTCCCGCGGCAGGCGTCGTGCTCTCTCCCGCGGCAGGCGTCGTGCTCTCTCCCGCGGCAGGCGTCGTGCTCTCTCCCGCGGCAGGCGTTGTGCTCTCTCCCGCGGCAGGCGTTGTGCTCTCTCCCGCGGCAGGCGTTGTGCTCTCTCCCGCGGCAGGCGTTGTGCTCTCTCCCGCGGCAGGCGTTGTGCTCTCTCCCGCGGCAGGCGTTGTGCTCTCTCCCGCGGCAGGCGTTGTGCTCTCTCCCGCGGCAGGCGTTGTGCTCTCTCCCGCGGCAGGCGTCGTGCTCTCTCCCGCAACAGGCGTCGTGCTCTCTCCCGCGGCAGGCATCGTGCTCTCTCCCGCGGCAGGCGTCGTGCTCTCTCCCGCGGCAGGCGTTGTGCTCTCTCCCGCGGCAGGCGTTGTGCTCTCTCCCGCGGCAGGCGTTGAACTACCTCCTGCGGCAGGCGTTGAACTAGCTCCTGTGGTAGGCGTCGTGCTCTCTCCCGCGGCGGGCGTCGTGCCCTCTCCCGTGGCGGGCGTCGTGCTCTCGCCCGCGGCGGGCGTCGTGCTCTCGCCCGCGGCGGGCGTCGTGCTCTCGCCCGCGGCGGGCGTCGTGCTCTCGCCCGCGGCGGGCGTCGTGCTCTCTCCTGTGGCAGGCGTTGTACTCTCTCCTGTGTCAGTAGGTATAACATTTTTGAACATTACTCCTACCTTATCTGTCGTGGCAGACGTTGTACTCTCTCCTGTGAAAGGCGTTGTACTCTCTCCTGTGAAAGGCGTTGTACTCTCTCCTGTGGCAGACGTTGTACTCTCTCCTGTGGAAGGCGTTGTACTCTCTCCTTTGGCAGGCGTTGAACTAGCTCCTGTGGCAGGCGTTGAACTAGCTCCAGTGGCAGGCGTTGTGCTCTCTCCCGCGGCAGGCGTTGGGCTCTTTCCCGCGGCAGGCGTTGTGCTCTCTTCCGCGGCAGGCGTTGTGCTCTCTACCGCGGCAGGCGTTGTGCTCTCTACCGCGGCAGGCGTTGTGCTCTCTCCCGCAGCAGGCGTTGTGCTCTCTCCTGTGGCAAGCGTTGTGCTCTCTCCTGTGGCAGGCGTTGAACTACCTCCTGTGGCAGGCGTTGAACTAGCTCCTGTGGAAGGCGTTGTACTCTCTCCTGTGGCAGACGTTGTACTCTCTCCTGTGGCGGGCGTTGTACTCTCTCCTGTGGCGGGCGTTGTACTCTTTCCTGTGTCAGTAGGTATAACATTTTTGAACATTACTCCTACCTTATCTGTCGTGGCAGACGTTGTACTCTCTCCTGTGAAAGGCGTTGTACTCTCTCCTGTGGCAGACGTTGTACTCTCTCCTGTGGCAGGCGTTGAACTAGCTCCTGTGGCAGGCGTTGTGCTCTCTCCCGCGGCAGGCGTTGTGCTCTCTCCCGCGGCAGGCGTTGTGCTCTCTCCCGCGGCAGGCGTTGTGCTCTCTCCCGCGGCAGGCATTGTGCTCTCTCCCGCGGCAGGCGTTGTGCTCTCTCCCGCGGCAGGCGTTGTGCTCTCTCCCGCGGCAGGCGTTGTGCTCTCTCCCGCGGCAGGCGTTGTGCTCTCTCCCGCGGCAGGCGTTGTGCTCTCTCCCGCGGCAGGCGTTGTGCTCTCTCCCGCGGCAGGCGTTGTGCTCTCTCCCGCGGCAGGCGTTGTGCTCTCTCCCGCGGCAGGCGTTGTGCTCTCTCCCGCGGCAGGCGTTGTGCTCTCTCCCGCGGCAGGCGCTCTCTTGTGCTCTCTCCCGCGGCAGGCGTTGTGCTCTCTCCCGCGGCAGGCGTTGTGCTCTCTCCCGCGGCAGGCGTTGTGCTCTCTCCCGCGGCAGGCGTTGTGCTCTCTCCCGCGGCAGGCGTTGTGCTCTCTCCTGCGGCAGGCGTTGTGCTCTCTCCTGCGGCAGGCGTTGTGCTCTCTCCTGCGGCAGACGTTGTGCTAGCTCCTGTAGCAGGCGTTGTGCTAGCTCCTGTGGCTGGCGTTGTACTCTCTCCTGTGGCAGGCGTTGTGCTAGATCCTGTGGCTGGCGTTGTACTCTCTCCTGTGGCTGGCGTTGTACTCTCTCCTGTGGCAGGCGTTGTACTCTCTCCTGTGGCAGGCGTTGTACTCTCTCCTGTGGCAGGCGTTGTACTCTCTCCTGTGGCAGGCGTTGTACTCTCTCCTGTGGCAGGCGTTGAACTAGCTCCTGTGGCAGGCGTTGAACTAGCTCCTGTGGCAGGCGTTGAACTAGCTCCTGTGGCTGGCGTTGTACTCTTTCCTGTGGCAGGCGTTGTTCTCTCTCCTGTGGCAGGCGTTGTACTCTCTCCTGTGGCAGGCGTTGTACTCTCTCCTGTGGCAGGCGTTGTACTCTCTCCTGTGGCAGGCGTTGTACTCTCTCCTGTGGCAGGCGTTGTACTCTCTCCTGTGGCAGGCGTTGTACTCTCTCCTGTGGCAGGCGTTGTACTCTCTCCTGTGGCAGGCGTTGTACTCTCTCCTGTGGCAGGCGTTGTACTCTCTCCTGTGGCAGGCGTTGTACTCTCTCCTGTGGCAGGCGTTGTACTCTCTCCTGTGGCAGGCGTTGTACTCTCTCCTGTGGCAGGCGTTGTACTCTCTCCTGTGGCAGGCGTTGTACTCTCTCCTGTGGCAGGCGTTGTACTCTCTCCTGTGGCAGGCGTTGTACTCTCTCCTGTGGCAGGCGTTGTACTCTCTCCTGTGGCAGGCGTGGCAGGCGTTGTACTCTCTCCTGTGGCAGGCGTTGTACTCTCTCCTGTGGCAGGCGTTGGCTAGCTCCTGTGGCAGGCTCTCTCCTGTGGCAGGCGTTGCTGTGGGCGTTGTGCTCTCTCCTGTGGCAGGCGTTGTGCTCTCTCCTGTGGCAGGCGTTGTACTCTCTCCTGTGGCAGGCGTTGTACTCTCTCCTGTGGCAGGCGTTGTACTCTCTCCTGTGGCAGGCGTTGTACTCTCTCCTGTGGCAGGCGTTGTACTCTCTCCTGTGGCAGGCGTTGTACTCTCTCCTGTGGCAGGCGTTGTACTCTCTCCTGTGGCAGGCGTTGTACTCTCTCCTGTGGCAGGCGTTGTACTCTCTCCTGTGGCAGGCGTTGTACTCTCTCCTGTGGCAGGCGTTGTACTCTCTCCTGTGGTACTCTCTCCTGTGGCAGGCGTTGTACTAGCTCCTGTGGCAGGCGTTGTACTCTCTCCTGTGGCAGGCGTTGTACTCTCTCCTGTGGCAGGCGTTGTACTCTCTCCTGTGGCAGGCGTTGTACTCTCTCCTGTGGCAGGCGTTGTACTCTCTCCTGTGGCAGGCGTTGTACTCTCTCCTGTGGCAGGCGTTGTACTCTCTCCTGTGGCAGGCGTTGTACTCTCTCCTGTGGCAGGCGTTGTACTCTCTCCTGTGGCAGGCGTTGTGCTCTCTCCTGTGGCAGGCGTTGTAGCTCCTGTGGCAGGCTCTCTCCTGTGGCAGGCGTTGTGCTCTCTCCTGTGGCAGGCGTTGTACTCTCTCCTGTGGCAGGCGTTGTACTCTCTCCTGTGGCAGGCGTTGTGCTCTCTCCTGTGGCAGGCGTTGTACTCTCTCCTGTGGCAGGCGTTGTGCTCTCTCCTGCGGCAGGCGTTGTGCTCTCTCCTGCGGCAGGCGTTGTGCTCTCTCCTGTGGCAGGCAGGCGTTGTGCTCTCTCCTGTGGCAGGCGTTGTACTCTCTCCTGTGGCAGGCGTTGTACTCTCTCCTGTGGCAGGCGTTGTACTCTCTGTGGCAGGCGTTGTACTCTCTCCTGTGGCTGGCGTTGTACTCTCTCCTGTGGCAGGCGTTGTACTCTCTCCTGTGGCAGGCGTTGTACTCTCTCCTGTGGCAGGCGTTGTACTCTCTCCTGTGGCAGGCGTTGTACTCTCTCCTGTGGCAGGCGTTGTACTCTCTCCTGTGGCAGGCGTTGTACTCTCTCCTGTGGCAGGCGTTGAACTAGCTCCTGTGGCAGGCGTTGAACTAGCTCCTGTGGCTGGCGTTGAACTAGCTCCTGTGGCAGGCGTTGTACTCTCTCCTGTGGCAGGCGTTGTGGCAGGCGTTGTAGGCGTTGTACTCTCCTGTGGCAGGCGTTGTACTCTCTCCTGTGGCAGGCGTTGAACTCTCTCCTGTGGCAGGCGTTGAACTAGCTCCTGTGGCTGGCGTTGTACTCTCTCCTGTGGCAGGCGTTGTACTCTCTCCTGTGGCAGGCGTTGTACTCTCTCCTGTGGCAGGCGTTGTACTCTCTCCTGTGGCAGGCGTTGTACTCTCTCCTGTGGCAGGCGTTGTACTCTCTCCTGTGGCAGGCGTTGTACTCTCTCCTGTGGCAGGCGTTGTACTCTCTCCTGTGGCAGGCGTTGTACTCTCTCCTGTGGCAGGCGTTGTACTCTCTCCTGTGGCAGGCGTTGTACTCTCTCCTGTGGCAGGCGTTGTACTCTCTCCTGTGGCAGGCGTTGTACTCTCTCCTGTGGCAGGCGTTGTACTCTCTCCTGTGGCAGGCGTTGTACTCTCTCCTGTGGCAGGCGTTGTACTCTCTCCCGCGGCAGGCGTTGTGCTCTCTCCCGCGGCAGGCGTTGTACTCTCTCCTGTGGCAGGCGTTGTACTCTCTCCTGTGGCAGGCGTTGTACTCTCTCCTGTGGCAGGCGTTGTACTCTCTCCTGTGGCAGGCGTTGGCGTTGTGGCAGGCGTTGTGCTAGCTCCTGTGGCTGGCGTTGTGCTAGCTCCTGTGGCTGGCGTCGTACTCTCTCCTGTGGCAGGCGTTGTGCTAGCTCCTGTGGCTGGCGTTGTACTCTCTCCTGTGGCTGGCGTTGTACTCTTTCCTGTGGCAAGCGTTGTGCTAGCTCCTGTGGCAGGCGTTGTACTCTTTCCTGTGGCAGGCTCTCTCCTGTGGCAGGCGTTGTACTCTCTCCTGTGGCAGGCGTTGTACTCTCTCCTGTGGCAGGCGTTGTACTCTCTCCTGTGGCAGGCGTTGTACTCTCTCCTGTGGCAGGCGTTGTACTCTCTCCTGTGGCAGGCGTTGTACTCTCTCCTGTGGCAGGCGTTGTACTCTCTCCTGTGGCAGGCGTTGTACTCTCTCCTGTGGCAGGCGTTGTACTCTCTCCTGTGGCAGGCGTTGTACTCTCTCCTGTGGCAGGCGTTGTACTCTCTCCTGTGGCAGGCGTTGTACTCTCTCCTGTGGCTCTCTCCTGTGGCAGGCGTTGTACTCTCTCCTGTGGCAGGCGTTGTACTCTCTCCTGTGGCAGGCGTTGTACTCTCTCCTGTGGCAGGCGTTGTACTAGCTCCTGTGGCAGGCGTTGAACTAGCTCCTGTGGCAGGCTCTAGCTCCTGTGGCAGGCGTTGTTCTCTCTCCTGTGGTAGGCGTTGTACTCTCTCCTGTGGCAGGCTCTCTCTCCTGTGGCAGGCGTTATGCTAGCTCCTGTAGCTGGCGTTGTACTCTCTCCTGTGGCTGGCGTTGTACTCTTTCCTGTGGCAGGCGTTGTGCTAGCTCCTGTGGCAGGCGTTGTACTCTCTCCTGTGGCAGGCGTTGTACTCTCTCCTGTGGCAGGCGTTGTACTCTCTCCTGTGGCAGGCGTTGTACTCTCTCCTGTGGCAGGCGTTGTACTCTCTCCTGTGGCAGGCGTTGTACTCTCTCCTGTGGCAGGCGTTGTACTCTCTCCTGTGGCAGGCGTTGTACTCTCTCCTGTGGCAGGCGTTGTACTCTCTCCTGTGGCAGGCGTTGTACTCTCTCCTGTGG